CGTCGTGGTCGAGCTTGCTGTAATCGCCCTTGCGCATCCCCATGCAGCGGAACTGCGTCGGGTTCTCGAACGTGTCGATCGGCTTGCCGCCCTTGTGCCCACCCCCCCCTGCTCATGTCGACGTTTGTTCGCGGCGCCTGGGTCTCCAAAGGTCTCCGGAAGACTCTGCAGGCCCTTCTTCTTGCCCGGGATGTCGCCGAGCTGAGATTTCGCACCAAGCCCAGCACACATGGATCAAGGACACCGTTGCCATGTCTGTGCTAGGCAGTCCTCATTTCCTACGACGAGCTCCCCTAATCAGCTTGTTCGCAAGGGCTCTACGCACTGCTTCTGCGGCGAAAATGGTTCCCCCCAGGACAGACCTCGGTAGCCCTGTGTGGTCTCCCGTATGGTCTCCAATAAGCGGTCTCTCGGCGGTGGACAAACCTCCCTTTCGTAAACCTCCCCCTTAGTGACAGCGGCCTGGGACCGAAACCGACGGACCTGGACCCGCAAATACGACGGCCGCGACGCCCTCTCGCGAGCCGAAGACGGCCAATTCCTCAATCGACGTGTCAGGGTAGAAGGTCTACTCCAGATTTCGTAATAAAAGGGAGGGGGTCTGGACCCTCCAAGACAGGCCATTTCAGACCTCCCCCGTGGGAGAACCCTCCAACACATCGACCCCAGACCCCCCAGGCCCTCCAAGATAGCCTGGAAGAGACCCCCCCCCGAAATGAGACCCCCTCCCTTTACTACGAAATCTGGAGTAGGAGGTCTATCCACCTCCGAGTCTCCTGTGTGGTCTCCGGCGTGGTCGCCCGTGCGGTCGCCGAGATCATCTCCCCCCTGCTGGCCCGCATGGCGTGGCCTCCCGCAGGGTCTCCGGCATGGAGGCCGTATGACCGCCCATGTGGTCTCCCGTACGGGGGGGGGGCACTGGAGGATTTGGACGCCCGAGATGGGTACTGAAAGAATGGGCACAATGCCCAACAACAAATGCTGTCCCAAACCAGCAGCGGCCGCTGTTGGGCAGGCGGCCTTCTGTCTGAAGTGGACACAGGCCGCGGCGGCGTGGACAGCGAGTCCTGTCCAAGATGAACAGGCACTGCTGTTGGGCATCGTACCCATTCTTTCCGTACCCATTTCGGGCGTCCAGAGAGGAGGAAACAGGGTCTGGAAGCCAGTTGAACTCCAATCGCGGATTGGCAGCGGATAGGACCGCTGCCCTCATCAGATAAGGGAGCCTCCAGGGTCTGAAGCCTCCTGTGCACGTTCTTGGAGTCCCGAAACGGTGCGGTGACAGACCATGCGGTGACCTCGAACCCCCCCAGGACCTCACCGCAAGGTCCGTCAGCGCACGGTTTTGGGACCTCGGAGGCCCCAGCCGCCCAAGACGTCCTCGGAGAGGGACCCGAGTCCCAAAACCGTGCGGCGACCCCGCATCCCCACCGACTCACCGCACGGTGTGGTCGCCACCCCGCTCGGGGGCCCCCGGACGCTCCTTTTAACCAACGCCCCCACCGTTGTGGTCTCCCGCACGGTCTCCTGTGAGAGCTCCCGTGCCGTCTTCCGTGTGGTCTCGTCTGCGTGGTGTCCCGTGTGCTCTCCACGTTTGGTCTGCCGCGTGATCGTCCACGCGGTCACCCGTGTGTCCAGTGCAGTTTCATGAAGGGGCCCTGGGCTTAATGGGCCCTGGAAACGACAGGGCCGTTTTTTTACCGGTTCCGTTTTGCCGTCATTTTACCGGTTCTGACGCCTTTTTTTACCGGTTCCGTCGCCGTTGTTTGACCGGTTCCGGCTCCAATTCCAATCCTGGAGCCGTTTTTTTTGCCGTTTCCGGTCGCCGTTTTTTTACCGTTTCCGTTTTCAAGGGACATTTCTTGGAAACGGTGAAAAAACGGCCCTGCCGTTTTCGGGGCCCACAAAGGCCCTGGGACACATATAATACAAATACACGCAAGTCCCAGGATCCCCCCATTTCCATACATTTTCTCGGTTTTCGTCTTCCCCTCCACTTCCCACACGTTCCAATATTTGCTGGAAGCCGACGATGAATTGTGTGTGTGCTCCTTTCCCTCCTGAAATTTAATGGCCCCTTTACAATCCAACTCTGCTGTTCAGGGTCGTTTGCCGCCGGGGTGTAATGTGATGCTCTTTTTCTGCTGCTTTCCCTCGGACTTGTGCGCGCATTTTGGCATCCCTACGCGACTCTCTTCTGGCTCGGCCCTCCCGGCTATTTCTTCCTGCCATCCTTTCCTTGCGTAGTGGTTGCATCGGTGACCCCTCAGCTGATCAAGGCCGCCCTTCGAGCAAGAGGGCCCAGTCATTGTGTGACCCCATCTTCGTTTCCTGCTTTTCGAGAGTTGCAGCGTCCGTGTCACCTGTGAGGGACTGGGCGAGAACACACAACCACCTGCGATAATGACTTGGAGCAAGCACAGAAAGGTGCACGCATCGGTCTCTTGCACCAGCGGTCGCATTTAGCAAACTCCAGAACAGCTGCAGAACTGCGACATAGCTCAAGCTAGTAGATGGAGAATGTCTGTTGAACCCCACCTCTTGAACATTACCTGAAACAAACTAGAGCGACGCAGACTCACAAAGCATCCCTCGGAGCAAAAAGCAGCAGAACACGCCCTCCTCCTCCTCCTCCAATTCCTCGGCGCGTCGTGCGGGCTACCTTGCCGTCCCGGCCCTCTCCTGTGCTTTCTCCTCTGCCGCGTAGCAGCGGTAAGATACGGCACGCATGAAGCCCCTGTCCACGGCAGACTGGCTAAGCATGAGAGAGTCTTCCTGGTTGTAGCCCGTGTAGCACATGATGAACACCTGTCAACCCATGCGTTTATCACAGAACGAAAGATCGCTAACATCAGTAGTCGCAGTCACGCGTCACTCCTCGAAACCTGCAATTTCGCATCCTCTGGGCCATCGCTCGCAATTGTAACACTCAGATCTAGTTTGGCTGCGTTCAATTGATCCCAACTCCGTCGCGACATAAGGCTGGGCGCCCCTAACCTTCACCACCAAGTGTGCACATGTCTAAGCAGGCCCCCGCGCTAGAAGGTTGAGCAAACGCTGCTTGGGATGCTTGGGGACTGGGGGTGCGGCGGGGGTGGGGTGGAGGGGGGGTTGGCCCCCCAACGCACTTCCCGAGCTCTCCGAACCTCCATTGCCACCCTCCGACGCTTCCAACTTGATCAAAATGGTCTCGAAGATGGCCCAGCCGAGCCCAGGAGGCCCCATGCAAATTCAAGAAGCCCTCAATGACTGCAAGACAGCCCAAATATGTTCCCAGAAGGGCCCCCCGACAATCAACAACTTTAAACGGCATGCCTTTTCCGAATATCATTTCCCGGTCTCGCCGTATCGCTCCCAGACGCTTCCGCGGTAGTCGGGGAGGCCTCCACAGGGCCCCCAGGCAGCTCAATGTGATCTCAAGGCGAGCCCAAACGGGCCCCAGAGAGAGGCTTCACGCTGGCGTCCAAGACGGTCCCTCTTGTATCCAAGCTGGCCCAACAGCGCCTCAAACCGGACTGGTAACTCCCCCATTCAGCCTCAGTGCCCTGCAAAACAACTCCAAGATCCTGTCGGGCGTGGGCAACACCGGGTTTAGTGGGACCTGGTTTCATGATGTGTACTTCCTGGGAGACGCTTCCATGAACCAGAACTGCCGTCACCCGAAGCACACACCAGCTACGGCAGACCTGGTTTGGTGCTTCTGGCCAGTTTCGGGGCTGCGGGGCCCTACTACTAACCGAGCCCCCTTCACTGGGATCCTGGCTATACCCGATCCTGAGAGCCCCCATCTGGCCATCGCTCGGACGTCCATTCCCTGTCTTTTTTTCGCTTTCGTGCGTGTTTTTTTTCGCCAAATGATCAAGGATGCTCCTCGATGGTCCTCGTCGAAGGAAACATGCACACGTCCGAGCGATGCCAAGCAATAGGCTCAGAGGGTGTCCCAGACATTCCGCACGGCCCCACGAGGGGCCGGCGCAGTGGCGTAAGCTACTCCGATAGGTACCACGTGCACTGCCCTGCAAGTGTGTCCTTCTGTGCACCGCCTGCTGGCGACCGGCGCCGCACGAGTCCGCACCAGGCGAGGACGGCAGACTGCGACGGCGGGCAGGCAGCACCAGCACCACGACGTGGGACGGAGAGAAAGGGAGAGAGCGAGAGAGAGAGACATATATTCACATCTATATATACATATATACACATACACATACATGCATACATATATACATACATACATACAGAGGTACAAACATACATACATGTATCTACGCGGGACAGACTGCGCAACTATATTATTATTATTATTATTGTTATTATTATTATTATGAGTATGCTTATAATTATTATTACTATTATTTTTGTATGAGTATTACCATTAGTATTATCATCATCATCATTATTATTATTATTATTATTATTATTATTATTATTAATGTTTTATTAGTATGCTTACTACTATTATCATTATGATGATGATGCTGCTGCTGCTGATGATGATGATGATGAGGATTATTATTATTATTATTATTATTATTATTATTAATTTCAATTATTACTATTATTATTACTATTACTATTTTATTATTATCAATCCACACCGATGCGGGGGGGGGCGTCCGACGGCCGAGCGGGCTGGCGGCCCGCCGCGTCCCCTCTGTTAGGGCTGCAGGGCAGGCAACACACAGACTCCGACCGGGGGGTGGGGGGCCCGACGGAGAGCCCGCTCCCCCCAGGGCGCACAACTGCCGACCCGCCTGCCCGAGAAACGTGGCCCGCCCGCGACCCGAGTTTGAGCAGGGACCGACCGTCCCTGCATTCCTATGGTCCTACCACGACATGTTCTTAGAACCCACACATGTTCCAAGAACGAAAACAAGGTTCTTAGAACATGAACCCGATGTGTTAAAACAAGACAGTCCCAGTCAGAAGTGCTCTCAGAACATTTCGTGGGAATCGCAAAAGGTTCTTAGAACACTGTTTGGCAGGGCTATAGGCCAGCCGGGACGCTTCGCCACTGCTTGACGAGTGCGGCCGCGGAGCCGTGGCCGCGTGCGGTGGAGGCGCGGGGGCCGAGAGGCGGTGCCGGCCTGCCGCCCCCCTCCCTGCGGGGAGGGCGAGCCGCTGGGCCCGCCCCCCCCCCCCCCGGGCCAGCGCTCGAGCGCCAATCCACGGCCAGCCTGCCGAGCGAGAGCGTGGGACGCAGGCGGCAGCCACTGGGGCGTGTGCCGAGGCCGTTGCCTCGTGCCCTGCGGCCCGAGCGCGACGCAGGCGCGCGAGAAGGGGGGGGGGTGCGGTCGTGGGCGTCTTGGAGGGCGTCAGCGAGCGCATTGGCGCGCCGTTTAGAGAGTTTGCTGCAGCGGTGGCAGCAGGCGCCAGGGTAGACGCTGGGACGAGTTGGCTGGTGGAGCGCCACAACTCTGGAGTGGCCCCACGGGAAGATCCTCAGGCTACCACTCGATGTCGAGTGGATGTGTACAGAGAAGCCTGAAACAGCGGATGTTGGAAACACAACGAAATTGGAAGTGGCCGGGGCTGGAGAAACTGGCAGGTGCTGGAACAGGCCCGAAACAGTTGAGACTTGGTCGTCAGGGCTGGAAAAGCGCAGTGAAGCGACCAGGGCTGGAAAGAGGGAAAGCGCTGGCCCTGGCCACCTTTTCCAGTTTCCCTGTAGTGGCGCTGGGGCTGCAGAGGGAGAGGGGCCCCGCTGTGTGGGAGCTGGGGAGGCCGCTCCGTGACCTGGTGGGGGGCGGGGGGAGGGCAGCCGGGCAGCCTCGGGCCCTCTTGGGCTCCTGGGGAGATCCGCAGGGTCGCGCCCTGGGTGCTCGCCACGAGGGGCAGAGGTGGCCCTGGCGGAAGGTGGGGCCGGGAGTCGGAGTCGGAGTCGGAGTCGGAGTCGGAGTCGGAGTCGGAGTCGGAGTCGGAGGAGGAGGAGGAGGAAGAGGAGGAGGAGGAGGAGGAGGAGGAGGAGGAGGAGGTGGAGGAGGAGGAGGGGGAGGAGGACAAGCTAGGTGCGCTCGCGTCATATCTGACATCCTACCCCTCCCTCCCATCCCTTACCATGGCGCAGATCCCCTCTCTACTCGCTCAGTCGGATGTCGAGCAGGGCATTGATCCCGAAAGGGTACGCGATGCATAGTAGAGCACGGCATGGCATGGCGTAGAAGAGCACCGCAAAGCGTAGTATCAACCTAGCATTGCATTGCATGCCGTGGCATGGCACGGGAAATGACGCCAGCGCTGCAGCGGGAGCACGAGTCGAAACGAACGGAAGCGCGGAAATGAGGCCAGCGCTGCAGCGGGAGCACGATCCGGAACGAGCGGAAGCACGGAAATGAGGCCAGCGCTGCAGCGGGAGCACGATTCGGAACGAGCGGGGCCCGAAAATGATGCCGGGGCGCCTCAGCGAGAGCAGCATTTTGGAAACAAATGCAAGCGAAAACCCAACTCCGGGCAAACCTATGTAAAAAACAGTACGCGGGGGGGGTCGGCCACTTTCAAACCGTCATCAGGTGAAGAGGGAGAGTGGTATTCATATTGAGTAATTGTGGAGGAGGAAGAGGAGGAGGAGGAGGAGGAGGAGGAGGAGGAGGAGGAGGAGGAGGAGGAGGAGGAGGAGGAGGAGGGGGAGGAGGGGGGGGAAGGGGGAGGGAGGAGGAGGGAGGGAGGAGGAGGAGGAGGAGGAGGAGGAGGAGGAGAAGGAGGAGGAGGCGGGAGGAGGAGGAGGAGGAGGAGACGGAGGAGGAGGAGGAGGAGGAGGAGGAGGAGGGGTAGGAGGACACATTTTCCCCCTCTTCCTTCCTCATTTTCCTCCCTGCTGTCTTCCCCTCTTGCTGCTCCCCGCCTTCCCCAATCACCTCCTCCCGCTTTCTCCCTGCGCCTCCTCCCTTCTCCTCCTTCCTCCTTTTCATCTCTCCTCTCTCCTCGTCTTGTTCCTCCTTATTCCTCCCCGCTCCTCATTTCTTCAATGTCTGCCCTGGACAGCGCGTTACAATTCCGCTACAAAGGAGTCATTCAGGCAATGTACCTGTCGTCAAATGATTATGTATGCCTTCCTTCGGCTACTGTGCATGCACGTTGTGTTCGGCCTTCCAATCAAATTCCGAAGCGAATGATCCGTTCCGAATGTGTTTTTGGGTGTCTGCGCAGCTGCCTGTATGCAAACTGCAACTGACAATGTTAGGGACTGCTTATAACGAGACGGAATCTGGCCGAAGCAATTCGGCTCACAATGACATGAAGGAATGGCCTGCTGCATGATGGAATTCGACACGTACTACGTGAGGGAAGTGTACAAACAGTCCAAAGAAGACCCCCCCTCACCATGGTGTTGACTCCAGCGGGCATCTCCCTGAAACGAAGGTAATTCATGGACCGCGTCCCGACGAACGGCTTCATGGGGTAGCACATGACGCACGCGAACGTGTCCATTCGAGCGTAGAAGTTTGTGCCAAAAACACCGATCGCCTGCCAGCACATCAGTAATTACGGGAGGACGAGGATACGGAGGAGGAGGAGGAGGAAGGGGAGGAAGGAGAAAGAGAGGGGCGCGGCCTCGCGTGTGAGGCACACCCCAAGAGTGCACGATCGAAGACGAAGATGGCGGGTGTCGAGGGTCTGGGGTCTACATATATGTCCATTGACGCACAGCCAACGAAGAGTGGACAGTCTTCAAAGTATTGTTGTTGTGGCAGCTGCAGTTGCAGTGGCAATTGCACTTGCATTTGTAGTTGTACGTGCAAATGAATTGAATACTCATTTCCAAAGAATGATTATATGGCTGATCGCCGGAAACGTCTCCGCGCGCTCCTGCCTCGACGGCGGCTACATTTTCCCTGACAGCGAGGTTCCCGCGCGAGCGTTGGCTTGAGTGTGAGTGAAAGTGGGCCCCTTGAGGCCCAGCTGCGACGACAACGGCTCCAGCTCGATACTTCCTCATACTTACCCCGGGACACCCTGGACAGAGAGGCCCCCGAACTCAGGAACGGCGCTCTCGCTCGAGACTTCCTCGCAATTCAATCAAGTTGGCAGAGGCCCATCCACGACGACAAGGGCTCCTGCTCCATACTTCCGCACGGTTCACTGCGAGAGCCCCTGGCAAGGAAGGCCCCCCAACTCAGGAACGGCGCTCTCGCTGGAGACTTCTTCGTGATTCAATCAAATTGGTGGAGGCCCAACTACGACGACAAGGGCTATCGTTCGATACTTCCTCAAAATGTACTCGCAGAGGCCCTTGTCAGAGAGGCCCCCGAACTCAAGAGTGGCGCTCTCGCTCGAGATTTTCTTGTAATTCGGTTAAGTTGGTGGAGGCCCAGACACGGCGACAGGGGTTCCTGCTCGATGTTTCTCAATATGTATTCCGAGATCCCCTGGCCTGGCCAGAGAGGCCCCCGAACTCAGGAACGGCGCTGTCGCTCGAGACTTCCTCGCACAGCAGTCACTGGCCGACAAGGAAGATGTTCCCCCCCGAAAGGGGGTGTGATCGAAGACAAAGGTGGCGGGCATCGAGGGTTGGGGTGTACGGAATGCAGACACGCGTGCCAATAAGAGCGAACAGTCTTAAACTTATTGTTGTTGTTGGTTATGTTGTTGAGCTCTCATGCCAGGAAACAAGTGAGTCCCACCCCATCGGTACCCATGGAGTTGTTTCAATTGAAGTGCCCTCATCGGCTCTCGCCCTTGCGCAAGGGAATCTTCCTGGTCAAACTACGCTGCTGGTCCCACCATTGCAACGGCAGCGGCTCCCGCCTGAGACTTCATTGCAACTTCGGCGGCGCTCTCGCTCAAGACTCCCCTACTATGTGCTCAGAAATCGCGCTCTCGGTCTGGATTTAGCGTGACATTGCTCAGGAATCGCGCTCCCACCGCTCAATACTCGCACTCTCACATGAGCCGTCCTCTCGACTCAGGAATCGCGCTCTCGCCGCTTGGTACTTGAAGCCTCCTCCGGGACTTGCCCAGAATCTGCCGAGGAATCATCGCGCTCTCGCCCTGGATTTCCCTGCGAACTCTTCGGGAATCAAGCTTTCATGCTCCGCCCGCCGGATCCGCCAGTGAGTCGGGGATCTTCTGACCCGGGTCAATCCAGACCCGGGTCAGCAAGAAACCAAAAACTGCAATGCAGGAAAAAAAAGCTGCAACGCAGGTCCTCGCAAACCCGGGTCAGCCAATACGCGCGGCCGCTTCGCAGCCACGAGCGGCTCGCTGACCCGGGTCAGCCAGAGGGGGTCGTCGCAGGATCCTGCAGGATCTGGCGCCCTGGCTGACCCCCGTTTGCATTGACCCCCGTCTCGAGGCTCCCGAGTGAGGGTCCGCCCGCTCGGCCCGGCCGACCGGGTCCGCCCATTCGCTCGCCTGGAAGCTGGCCCGACCGCTGGAACGCCCCGCCCGCCCTACCCACCGCCTCCTCCTCCTCCTCCTCCTCCTCCTCGCCCTACCCACCTTGTAGGGTTTGCCCTCCCGAGTGGCCCGTTAGGGTGCGCCCGCCCGACTCGCCCTGGAAGGTCCGCGCGCCCGACCCACCTGCCTTACCCCGTCGGGAATCACCGATGATCCCGCGTGAGGAGAAAGGAAAGCCTCCCACACGGGGGGGGCGTTCGCAGACGAACGGGGCAGGATTGAATGGCACAGGATAGACATGTCGGGTGCCACGCGAGCGAACTGCAACAAACACATGTTTAAACGACTGCTGGATGTTTGGCGAACACATGAGCTGCACCAAACAGAGGGCCTGTCTGAAACATGTGTTTCAACAAATGCGTTGATCAATTGTGAAAGATGGCACTCCGTCTCTCCATTAGCGTCGCTGTTGTGCGACGTGGAAGATAGCATGATCAATCGGCTGACGCTGGACGGAAGCAGTCGCCAAAACAAAACTGTCACCTCTCGTCCTATCGCAGCTGTTCCCTGCCAAGCAACTACCCCCTTCTGGCACACCATATCTCCTTCGGCGCAACCTTTAGGAGAGCTCCGGGCGAGTGTGATGACAGCAGCATTGTACCACTCGCTTAGACGACTGTGCTCCTATCTCACATGAAACGAATACGGTCAAGATCGATGGCCTCTGTTCCCTGTGCCTGCTCTGCTCCATGATCCTTCTTGCGCGGGTGCTCTAACATGGCTTCTCCAACTACCAAACCACAAATAACTATCAAAAGCGTGGTATTCAAAACTTGCTCGACGCATCTCACTTTCACATCTAGCCGTGCACACATCAAATTTGGAATGCCGAAACGGTGCGGTGACAGACCGTGCGGTGACCTCGAAATCCCCTAAGACCTCACCGCACGGTCCGTCACCGCTCGGTCTTGGGACCTCGGAGGCCCCAGTCGCCCGAGACGTCCTCGGAGAACGACCCGAGTCCCAAAACCGTACGGTGACCCGAATCCCTGCCGACTCACCGCACGGTGTGGTCACCACCCCGTTTGGGGGCCTGAATTAAAGCTAGATTTGGTGACACAACTCCCCGGGAGCTTCACATTCTTAATTGCACAGAACCTGCCAGCCAATATCACATCGCGTTCTGTTTTTTCGGGCGAAAGAACAATCCAGACTCTTGTGCAATACAGGCTAACAGTGTAAGCTACAAGCTGCAAGCTGAGATATACACAGACATAGACATGATGCAACAACAAGAGGCAGGCATTACATCGCTAAGTGAGCAGTTGGCCTGCTTGCCCATGGCTGACTGGAAGACATTGCGAGGACTCATGTTATGGTCCGGGAACGGAATGATGGAGGCACAGATGCCGAAAATCATGGCGGGGTGGATTTCTGCGTGCGTCCATGTCTTGCAGTACGCGCGCATCTTCACCAGATCCTCCAACAAACACAACTATACTTTTCATGAACATCCTCTTCTTTCGCAATTCGTCCATCTTCCGGCTTTCAGCAACAGAACTCAGGCCCGGTGGGTGACAACGAAACGTTGGAGCTATTGTCAAAACCCCTTTTCTCTCACATGGCACCCTGCATTAATAACGTAGTAACTCCAACACGTGTGTAGAGATCAACGGAATGCTCTTACATGCTGCGCCCCCGCATCCGATCTAGATCGTGCGTTCCGCAGTGGATGTCCTGGAATCCGCCACTGTGCCCCCTGGCACGTTGAGGCGTGGAAGAATGCCAAGGTCTATCTGGTGGAGGGCTTTGACATCTAATAAGGGATCGCTTCTCCCTCTTCCAGCGGACTCCTGCGTGCATCGCCCCTCCTTTCCGAGGCCCCTTCCCTCGTGCCCGCTTGAGGACCGTGCACTTCCAGCATGGCAATGTAATGCCTAATCCACCATTTCACGCGTGCCCTCTCGAGGATGGCCCACGTCCCACATGGCAACGAATGCCTGAGCCCTCATTCCATACGCTCGAGGATCGTGCACTTCTCGCATGGCAGCTGATGCCTGAACGCTCCTTCCGCGCGTGCCCAGGCGAGGATGGTGCGCTTGCCGCATGTCAGCTGATGCCCGAACCCTCCGTCCATGCGCGCCCGCTCTAGGATTGCTCACTTCCCGCATGGCTGCTACTGGCCATCGCTCGGACGTCTATTCCCTGTGTTTTTGTTCGGTCTCGTGCGTGGCTTTTTCGCCAAATGATCAAGAATGCTCCTCGATGGTCCTCGCCGAAGAAAAAACTCACACGTCCGAGCGATGCCGGGCATCTCACGCACACCCAATCGAGGACCGTGCACTTCCTGCATTCCCAGGCGCTGCTCCCAAGCGCCCCAGGGCCTCCCACGCCACGATGCCCCTGTTCGAAGCGATGGCTGTGCGTCCCCCGAGCTGCAGCGACGGCCGTGCGGGCAACCAGGGACACCAAGATTGCCCAAGCTGCCTCGAAGACGGCCCAACTCGCCATCGCTCGGACGTCCATTCCCTGCGCTTTTTTTGGTTTCGTGCGTGTTTTTTTCGCCACATGATCAAGGATGCTCCTCGATGGTCCTCGCCGAAGGAAACAATGCATACGTCCAAGCGATGCCAAGCCAAGGTGACCCGAGGGCGGCCGAACATGGATTCAAGGCGGCCCACTATGCCTCGAGAAGGCCCCACAATGGCCACGAGAGGAGTTCAACAACTGTCAGGAGACGCCCTAATCATCGATTGCCATTCGGTTCTTGAATGGCTTTCGCATTCTCGCCTTCGCGGGCCGCCGCCAACCCAATACGGCCCAAGAAGACTCCAGGATGGCGCAGGAGGCCTCTAAGACGGCCCCAAGACGGCCTCTCGCGGACCCACGACGGCTTCGGAAAGCCATTCGACGGTCCACGACGGCGCCAGGACAGCCCCCGACACCCACCATACGGCCAAGACAGAAGGCCCCAATACGGCTCACGAAAGGCCCCACGCCAGCGTGAGGGGGCCCAAAGACGCCCCAAGAGGACCCCAAGGGACCCCCACGACTGCCCCAACGGAGGCCAACATAGCCCCAACACGACCCACGTAAGTTTCATCATCATCATCATCATCATCATCATCATCATCATCATCATCATCATCATCATCATCATCATCATCATCATCATCATCATCATCATCATCATCATCGTCATCATCGTCATCGTCATCAGCATCATCATCAGCATCGTCGTCGTCGTCATCGTCATCATCATCAGCAACACAATCATCACCACCATCACACTCATCACCATCATCTTCATCATCATCATCACCACCGACATCCTCATTGCCATTACTATCATAGCATCAATACTATAATGATACATATCAAAATTATCACCCGCACCGACGTCAACACCAGCATCAGCATCCGCATCATCATCCTCGCCATCATCAACATCATCATCAACAACAGCTTCATCCACATCATCAGCATCATCATCATCATCATCAGCAGCAGCAGCAGCAGCAGCAGCAGCATCCTCATCATCCTCATCCTCATCCTCATACTTATTATTCTCATTATCAGCATCATCATCATCCCCTTCATGGTCATCGTCATCATCATCGCTAGCGTCATCATCATCGTCATCTTCATCGTCATCGTCATCATCATCGTCATCGCCATCGCCATCGCAATGGTCATCGTCATCGTCCTCTCCCTCACCCCTCCTCCTCCTCCTCCTCCTCCTCCTCCTCCTCCGCCTCCTCCCCCTCTTCCACCTCCTCCGCATCCTCCTCCTCCTCCTCCTCCTCCTCCGCAATCCTCCTCCTCCCTCTCCTCGTCCCCTCCATCCTCCTCCTCCCTCCTCCCCCTCCTCCTCCTCCTCCTCCTCCTCCTCCTCCTCATCCTCCTCCTCCATCCTCCTCCTCCGCATCCTCCTCCTCCTACCTCCTCCTCTCTCCTCCTCCTCCTCCTCCTCCTCCTCCTCCTCCTCCTCCTCCCCCTGGATACTAAATCCCTGCATTTTTATACATGCTCCGCACGCGGAGCATGTATAAATTATCCCGGCAAAGCAACCTGACAGCGATGTGTAGGAGCATATCTGGAAGCATCCCCCTTAAGATTCAGATGAGAATCCAGTTGTAGAGTTCTGCTGTTCTCGCAGTCGAAGTCGCATTCGCGATGACAGTCGCAGTGGCCTGCATTAGCCTCAGCCTCAGCCTCAGCCTGCCTCAGCATCAGCCTCAGCCTCAGCTTCAGCCTGCCTCAGCCTCAGCCTCAGCCTGCTCCTGCATCAGCCTCAGTCTGCCTGCAGCCTCGGCCTCAGCCTCAGCCTGCCTCAGCCTGAGCCTGCCTCAGCCTCAGCCTCAGCCTCAGCCTGCCTCAGCATCAGCCAGCCTCAGCCTCAGCCTCAGCCTCAGCCTCAGCCTTAGCCTCAGCCTCAGCCTGCTTCAGCCTCAGCCTCAGTCTGCCTTCAGCCTCGGCCTCAGCCTCAGCCTCAGCCTCAGCCTGCATCAGCCTCAGCCTCAGCCTCAGCCTGCCTCAGCCTGCCTCAGCCTCAGCCTCAGCCTCAGCCTCAGCCTCAGCCTGCTTCAGCCTCAGCCTCAGTCTGCCTTCAGCCTCGGCCTCGGCCTCCGCCTGCCTCAGCCTCAGCCTGCATGAGCCTCAGCCTCAGCCTCAGCCTGCCTCAGCATCAGCATGCCTCAGCCTCAGCCTCAGCCAGCCTCAGCCTCAGCCTCAGCCTCAGCCTCAGCCTCAGCCTGCTTCAGCCTCAGCCTCAGTCTGCCTTCAGCCTCGGCCTCAGCCTCAGCCTGCCTCAGCCTCAGCCTGCATCAGCCTCAGCCTCAGCCTCAGCCTGCCTCAGCCTCAGCCTGCCTCAGCCTGAGCCTCAGCCTGCCTCAGCCTCAGCCTGCCTCAGCCTCAGCCTCAGCCTGCCTCAGCCTCAGCCTCAGCCTAGGCCTGTTCAGGCCTCAGCCTGCACAGCCTCAGCCTCCAGGCGCCAGGCTAGCCTCAGCTCAGCGCAGCCTGCCTCAGCCTCAGCCTCAGGCTGCTTCAGCTCAGCATCAGTCTGCCTCAGCTCGGCCTCGGCCTCGGCCTGAGTTCAGCCTCAGCCTCAGCCTGCTTAGCCTCAGCCTCAGCCTCAGCGGCAGCATAGCCTGCCTCAGCCTAAGCTCAGCCTGCCTCAGTCTCAGCCCAGCCTGCTCAGCCTCAACCTCAGTCTGCCTTCAGCTCGGCCTCAGACCTCAGCTGCCTCAGCTCGGCCTGCATCAGGCCTCAGCACCCAAGCTCAGCCTGTCCTCAGCATCAGACGCATCAGCGCAGCCGCGGCCTGCTTATCTGCCTCAGCCTCAGCCTGAATCAGCCTCAGCCTCAGCCTCAGCCTGCCTCAGCCTCAGCCTCAGCCTCAGCCTGCCTCAGCCTCAGCCTGCCTCAGCCTCAGCCTCAGCCTCAGCCTCAGCCTCAGCCTGCCTCAGCCTCAGCCTCAGCCTGCTTCAGCCTCAGCCTCAGTCTGCCTTCAGCCTCGGCCTCGGCCTCGGCCTGCCTCAGCCTCAGCCTCAGCCTGCCTCAGCCTCAGCCTCAGCCTCGGCCTGCTTCAGCCTCAGCCTCAATCTGCCTTCAGCCTCGGCTTCAGTCTCAGCCTGCCTCAGCCTCAGCCTGCATCAGCCTCAGCCTCAGCCTCAGCCTGCCTCAGCCTCAGCCTGCATCAGCCTCAGCCTGCTTCAGCCTCAGCCTCAGCCTGCATCAGCCTGAGCCTGAGTCTGCCTTCAGCTTCGACCTCAGCCTCAGCCTGCCTCAGCCTGCCTCAGCCTCAGCATCAGCCTGCCTCAGCATTCAAAATGTGGCCAGGGAATGGAATTCTGGGAACTCGAAGAACACGAAGTGGCCTACAGTTTGCTCCGGGCATTCAAAATCATACCCAGGAATAGAATTCTGGGAAGTCCAAGAGCACGAAGTGGCCTACAGTTGGCTCCGGGCATCCAAAATGTGGCCCGGGAATGGAGTTCTGGGAACTCGAAGACCACGAAGTGGCCTACAGTTGGCTCCGGGCATCCAAAATGTGGCCCGGGAATGGAGTTCTGGGAACTCGAAGACCACGAAGTGGCCTACAGTTGGCTCCGGGCATCCAAAATGTGGCCGGGAATGGAGTTCTGGGAACTCGAAGACCACGAAGTGGCCTACAGTTGGCTCCGGGCATTCAGAATGTGGCCCGGGAATGGAGTTCTGGGAGGTCAAGGAGCACCAAGTGTATGACTGTTGCATCCGGTTATTCAGAATGTGGCCTGGGAATGGGGTTCTGAGAGGTCGACGAGCACGAAGTGTGTGACTGTTTGTGAAAAACGAGCCCGGCACAGGCCCGGCCGGCAACTCCCAACGCCTGCCCGGACCCCCCTGTGGAGTGATCTGTGAGCTCTTTTGAGTCAACTAGAAACCTATCAGTCTTCGCTGTTAGGTAAAAACGGCACTGTACAGTGGAGGCCCGACCACAAGAAGCCTTCCGCAAGAAACGCAACCTTGGGACCCCAGGACGTCCATTGCTTCTTGTAGGGCAGTCACGCTTTCCATAGCAAATCCACCGAAACCCAAGAAACCCAGGGCACCCTGGAGGCGAGCAGGGTGTTTCGTGGCATGGGTCTCCACTGTATCGCAGACGACGACTACCCCTGCGAGGACCCCATGTCGGGGAGACGTAAGACTCGGGCACGGGCGGGGGACTCGGGTTGGCCTGACGGGGCCGTCATGAACATGACGAGACCCGATCCGAAATCTGACGCGAGCTCCCGCTGCAACCATCCCAAGACAACTGGCCCGTCAAAAAATCCAAGGCGGGCCCGTCAAAACAACGCTGGCACAGCCGAGTTCCGGCTTACTCGGGCCTTGCGTTTCCCCGATCTGAGCATCGGAGTGAAGTGGTGCATATATGCAAGAAGAGAAACCGGCATGGACAGAAACTTTCGACGGCCCGCGCGGCCTTCTTGGATCTGCGCCGGACCCCCCTCCCTGGCGCGCGGCGCCCAAAGCGCCGCTGGGGGGAGAGCTGCGACCATGGGGAGGGCTGGCCGCGGCGGCAACGAGGACCACCCCTGCGAGGACCACCCCTGCGAGGACCCCCTGGGGAGGGTGTCGCAGCCGACGGCCACCCCTGCGAGGATCCCATGCCGCGGGGAGGGCTGGCCGCGGCGGCAGCCCACGCGCCCGCTGGCGCGACCGAGCCCCCCCCCCCCTGGGAGCATCGGGTCGGGCGAAAGGGGGGGGTAGCAAAGGGGGGGTTTGAGAATCAGCTCACGTACTGTGTGGTTGTTTGCTCTGTGCCTTGTATAACAAAGTTGTGATGAGTTGTAACAGAGATACACATTCTCCTCCGTATCTACATCTACAGAACAGATATATCACTTCTATAAGTGCTCGTAAATTCACAACTTTGCATAACTTTTCATAACTTTTCATAACTTTCTCAGCTGGGTAAGGCAGGGGTTCTTATGTCCGCCCCCATGCCCCGTGCACGGGCCCAGGGAAATTGTCCTCGTTGTCAAAAATGCGCTCTCGCCTTTGGTGTTTCTCGCAGCGGGGGAACAAACGGTTTTCAAAATCGCGCTCTCGCCTCAGACTCATTCGCACCGCAAGCTCCTGCAGACAGGCGGGAAGCGGCGTCGGCCCACTCGGAATGAGAGGAGGTGGGGGGGGGGGGGAAAGGAGGGTTCAACGTCGGCGACGGCGACGACGACAACGGCGGCGGCGACGGCAGCGCTGCGCCTCCGCTCTCCCGCGCTCGGGGGCCGCCCCCCACCCCCCTGAACTCGCGGGGCGAGCTGAAGGGGAGGGGAGGGGTGGGGAAGAGAGAAGAAGGAAGGAAGGAACATGGAATATTTGACAAAGAAGGATAAGGAAGATGAGAAAAGGCTGAAGGCTGAGGACGAGGTCGAGAAATAAGAAGATGAGGAAAAAGCATTATCAAGACGGGGAGGAGTAGGAGGAGGAGGGAAGGGGGAGAGGGGGGGGGGGGAAGGGGAGGCGAGCGGGGAGTGAGGGGGGAGGAGGGAGGGAAAGGGGAGGGGAGGAGGTAGGAGGGAGGGGTGGGGGACGGAGCGGGAGAAGGGAGGCGGGGGGAGGGAAAGGGGAGGGCGCCGCCGTTGTCCTCCTCCTCCTCCTCCTCCTCCTCCTTCTTCTCCTCCCCCTCCTCCTTCTCCTTCTCCTTCTCCTTCTCCTTCTCCTCCTTCTCCTCCTCCTACGTAGTCATACGTACTATTCCTCCTCCTTATCTTTCTCCTCCTTTTCCTCCTCCTTCTCCTCCTCCTCCTCCTCCTCCTCCTCCTACGTGCTCTTCCTGCTCCTCCTCCTCCTCCTCCTCCTCCTCCTCTCTTCCTCCCCCTCCTCCTCCTTCTCCTCCTCGGGCTTCTCCTTCTCCTCCTTATCATTATCCTTCTCCTCCTCCTTCCCCTTCTCCTCATCATCCTTCTTCTCCTCCTCCTCCTTCTCCTACGTACTCCTACGTACTCCTCCTCCTCCTTTTCCTCCTCACCCTCCTCCTCCTCCTTTTCCTCCTTCTCCTTATCATCCTCCTTCTCCTTCTCCTCCTCCTTCTCCTCCTCCTTCTCCTCCTACGTGCTCCTCCTTCTCCTTCTCCTTCTCCTCCTCCTCTTCCTCCTCCTACGTGCTCCTCCTCCTCCTTCTCATCCTCATCCTTATCCTTCTCCTCCTCCTTCTCCTACTCCTCCTACTCCTCCTTCTCCTCCTCCTTCTCCTCCTCCTTCTCCTTCTTCTCCTACTCCTACTTCTTCTCCTACTTCTCCTTCTACTCTTCCCTCTCCTACGTACTCCTACATGCTCATACATGCTCCGCCTCCTCCTTCTCCTTCGTCTCCTCCTCTTCCTCCTCCTCCTCCTCCTCCTCCTCCTCCTCATCACTCCCTCATTCCGCCTTCTCCTCATTCGGCCACACGAGCGCGATGGGTCCGACGGGGGGGGGCGAGGGCCACCTATGGGGGTGAACGGGGAGACCAGTGAGAGGGGCACGAGGGCAGCTGGAAAAGGCACGGGAGCAGGAGCAGGATGTCCTCCCCCCCCCTCAGCATCACCTCCTTCTCCTCCTCCTCCCCCCCCTCATCCCCCCTTCATTCCCATCGCCACCGCCCTCCGAATCGCCAGCGCGCAGATAACACAAGCACCCGTGCAGCGGGCGTCGGTTGATCGGGACATCCGAGAGGACGCGAGACTGCTCCGATGGCATCATGGCCCAGAGAAGCGAAATGGCATGGTACGGGGGCGCCCTTGCATTTGCAGGGTCGACCTACCGATCAACGCCGACTGTGCCCTATCTGCCTTCTCCCCCTTCTCTTCCACCCCCACACTCGCACTGTTCCACCTCGGCGCCGTCGGTGGCACCACACGCGTGCCCTGACGCCAGTGAGCGGGATTAGGCGCGGGCAAGCCATAAAACAAAACTTGGCACTAGGTGATGTGGCAGAGCCTCCAATCTACATCGGAGCAGATCTGCGGCTCTATCTGATGGGGCAGAGCCTCCTGTGCTATGAGCCGTCCCCCGATGCGTTGCACCAAGCTGCATAGAAACGACATGGTTCAGACTGGCTGCTCCAGACCGCCCGAGCGGTAGGTGTAGCTCTCAGTGCCATCCCGCCCGCCTGACCCTCTCTCCCCCCTTCATTCACGTTGCTGCATGCGCGGGCTCACCTGCTCACGAACTCTACAACCTGCTTCCAGGCTGAGCGGGCGCCCTGCACCTTCCACGACATCTGTTTGTCGACCACGGTGCCTGGCGGGACGACTCGCCACGCCTGCTTGTTGATGTCTGTATATATGACATGGTCATTGTACACCATGGCTGGAACCTTTTTCGTTGGACTGCCTGGGAACGTGAGCTTTTTGACGGTGGCGGCCTTCACCACGGCCTTGTGCGCGGTCTGGCTCTCGCTCTGGCTGGCACTGGCAGCTGGGCGCTTCGCAACGACGGCCTTCGCCGCCGCTGCTGGGCGCTTGGCCACCCTGCCCTTGTTCACCGTGCTGCTCTTGCCCTTGCCCGAGCTGCCTGGCCCCGACGCCCATCCCAACCATAAAAGAAGGACGGCGGAGTGAACGAACGGGGGAGGAGGACAGGACAAGAAGCGGAGAAGGAGGAGGCCAGTATAAGAAGGATGAGGAATACGCACGGACGGACGGACTGATTGAACGGCAGGATGAGGAGGGCAGGGCGACAAACCGAACGGGAGAAGGATAGGGGAGGTGAGGAGGGGAGAGGAGAGAGCCCTGGTTTGCGGACCCTTGGCCGACGATTTCCACCATCGTTTAAACTTGTATGTGTGTGTCCCCATATCCTAAGATGGGGTTATTGTTTTTACCTGGACGCCTCCTACTGCCTCTTCCTCCTCATCTTTCCTCCTCACCTCCTCAGACTCAGACTTACTCATACTCAGACGTACTCATACTCAGACCTACTCATACTCAGACTTACGCACACTCAGAGATACTCATACACAGACTTACTCATACACAGACTTACTCACACCCAGACGTACTCATACACAGACTTACTCATACCAGACTTACTCATACACAGTATTACTCATACTCAGACTTACTCATACCCAGACGTACACATACACAGACTTTCTCATACACAGACCTACTCATACCCAGACTTACTCATACACAGACTTACCCATACACAGACTTACTCATACTCAGGCATACCCGTACCCAGACCTTTACCTGGACGCCTCCTACTGCCTCTTCCTCCTCATCTTTCCTCCTCACCTCCTCATACTCAGACTTACTCATACTCAGACGTACTCATACCCAGACGTACACATACACAGACTTTCTCATACACAGACCTACTCATACCCAGACTTACTCATACACAGACTTACTCATACACAGACTTACTCATACTCAGGCATACCCATACTCAGACCTACTCATACGCAGACTTACTCAACACACATCAGATTTGGAGGATGTCTCAAGCGGGGCGCTGGTTTCAGCACCCCTGAGGTGAGCCGCCAGGGGTGGTTGCATGGGCTCGTTCGCTGCCATTTTGTGGGGATGTCTCAGGCGGGTTGCCTGTTTCTGGGCTCAACATCCTTCGCTTGGAGAACAGATTGTGAGGATGTCTCAGGCGGTGCGCTGGTTTCAGCACCCCTAAGGGGAGCCGCCAGGGGTGGTTGCACGGGCTCGGTCGCGGCCATGGTGTGGGTATGTCTCAAGCGGTTTGCCTGTTGATGGGCTCAACATCCTTCGCTTTGAAAGCAGATTGTGAGGATGTCTCAGGCGGTGCGCTGGTCTCAGCACCCCTGAGGGGAGCCGCCAGGGGTGGTTGCACGGGCTCGTTAGCGGCCATGCTGTAGGGATGTCTCAAGCGGTTTGCTTGTTTCTGGGCTCAACATCCTTCGCTTTCGGAGCAGAGTTGGAGGATGTCTTGAGCGAGGCGCTCATGTTCACCCCCCAGGTGGGCCAGATTTTGAGGGTGTCTCAATCGGTTTGCTTGTTATGGTGACCAGGCTCGTGGGCGCAGATTCTTCTCAGGATGCCACGGGCGGCCCCAACGGGCTCCAGGAGGCCCCAGGAGACCACATGAGGTCCCAGGAGGCATCAGGAGGCCACAGAAGGACGCAAGAGGCCACATGATGTCCCAAGAAGCTCCAGGAGGCCCCAGGGAGCTCCAGAAGGCATCAGGAAACCACAGGAGGCCCCAGGAGGCAACATGAAGCGCCAGGAGGCCTCGGAAGGCAACAGGAGGCCCCGAGAGGCACCAGGGGCAGGAGGCCTCAGAAGGCAACAGGAGTGGCCCCAATCCCATGTGTTTTACGTATGATCATATCGATTGGGCCTCACCTGGAGCACGGTTATTTGATGTGCTACGTATGATTCTATGTGTGGTCCTTCTCATGTGTACACAATTCTAAATGTTTTACTCATGCTCCTATGTATTGGGCCTCTCCTGGGTCACGAGTCCTTCGTGTTTCACGCGTGTTCCTATAGAGTGCCCTTCCCCTGTGGCTCTAATCCGCAATGTTTTATGCACGTTTGTTGCTATAGATTGCGCATCTCCTGGGGCACGAAACCGCCCTAGGAGGTCCCAGGAGGTCCCAAGAGGCTCCTGGAGACCCCAGGAAGCCCCAGTAGGTTTCAGGAGGCCCCAGGAGGCCCCAGGCTCATGCACAGAGACGCGCTCGTACTACTGAGGCCCATCCACACTCCAACTCACTCGCAGTTAGATTGATGTCCAGACCGTCACAACTGAAGCCCGTTAATATTCGAAAGCTCTTGCGCCTAGACATTCACGGCGGGCAGGTCCATGCGAGTAGATGCACATATGGGGAGCTCCACGTAATGAAAAATTTGTTTATCTATGTTGTTTTACTTTGTTTGGTTTCCCCTTTCCCCCGTGTGCACCGTCGAGCACGCGACCGAACTGCTCGACCAGCTGGTCGACGCCCAGGCTCGGCACAGGCTCCGCCGCCGCCGCCTCCGTGCCTGGTCGGGCGGGCGGGCAGCGGGGCGGAGGATGCAGTTCGGGAAGAATGGGGGGGGGGTGCACATGGGGGGGGGGGAGGGGCGGTGCTGGGACGAGGATGGCGATCGGGCAGGAGGGCGGCTGAGTGGGGGGCCAGGATACGGATGACTGGTATAACTGGACATCAGCACCCTTCTAAAAGCCTGCTTACCCATCTGGCCCCATCACCCCTGTTGCTGAGATTTGCCCTGCCGAGGTCCTGGGGAATCGGTGAGGCTGACCGCGTCAGCGGCGGCCCCCGTCGGCGGCGAGTCCGCACGCGGCGAGCCCAGGGGCGGCGGGCCCGCAAGCGGCGCGGTGAGCGGCACCGCGCCAAGAGGCGCGGTAGGGGCTGGCTGTGGCCTCTGGAACGCGGGGTGTCCATAGCCCTGCTGGTTGGCGGGCTGCGGCCGATCGTAGATGACCATGCCGATGCCCAGGGAGTCGTCATGTGGGGCCGCGGTCAGCTGCCTGTGCAAGTGCGCGCCCATGCACGGGGCGCGGTACGTCGGCTGGCGCATCAAGGGAGCCCTGAGGCTGCCAGCAATAGACCCGTGAGTTCCGCGGCATGCCAACTGAGACCTCAAGTTCTCCACCACAAGCTCGTTGATGGGCACGATTGCTGGCAACTGGCCGTGCGGGTACGCCACCTCGTACAATGATGGATACGATGCCAAAAACTCGGCTGGCGTGGGAGGGTACTGCGTAACCTGTCCGTGGTGGTCGAGCTTGCCGCGTTTCCTGTACCTGGCCATTGCCGCACCGATGTCATGTTTCTTGGCCAAGGCGTTCACGGGGTCATAGACTGGCATGGACCCTGGTGGCGTGCGGGCCACCACCCATATGCACCACAGGAGGATCTTCGTCTTCTCGCACGGGTTCACCAACCCCAGCTCGCCCAGCCTCTCCTGGATGTGCATGAACGCGCTCTCCCACTGCGTCCCTGGGTCGAGGATGATCGCCCACAGGCTGTCAGTGAAGTAGCGCTGCAGGTGGAGGCACGTCTGCCCCTGCGCCCGTCCATCACGACCGCCGCCAGAGCCGTCAAGGCCACCCGATCCACCACGGCCACCAGGGCCTCCCGCGCGGACCACCTTGGCCTGCACTGCCAGGGATATGGCGGCGCGGTCGGCGACGTTGAAAGCGGACGTGCTCAGCAAGCGCATCGCCTCGACGGCCTCCGCGAGACTGATGGGCGGGAGATCACGCAACCCATCGAGAGCCAATTGTTTGCCACGCATCGTGTCGACGACCCCCATGGATTGCTGGGACGCCTCCATGAACTCCACGACCTCTCGGATGACCTGGGCCATGTGCCGACGCTGGAACAAGCTCTCTCGGGTTCGGGTGTCGGTCAGAGAAGAAACGTAACCCGCAAGCCTGGCCGACAGCCAAAATGGCTGAACTACGGGCGATGGGGACGGGACGGGATTGCACGTCATCCCCTCAGCAATCTGTGGACAGACAAGATACCCTGACCTTCCAGAGAGCAATGTTTTTAGCACGGGGAGGCTGAACACCTAAAACCACTAACCGATACAGCATAACACCAGGACGTCGACTAGCTCTGGGATAGATGTTTAGGTCGCGTGCTATTTGTTAGCCCTCCTGGAAGGTCAGGGTATATGATGTGTCCCTCGCAAGACAACACATATGGGTATGTAACCATACAGATACATAAATATACGCATACATCTACACATGTATGTATAATGCGAGCGTGTCACGCGCATGAGACACGCATTGGGCATATCCTCATAGAATGCTCCTCCTCATCCTCCCCCTCGTCCCTTCTCCTCCTCCTCCTTCTACGCATCCCTCCCCCATCTTCCGAGTTGCTTTTCACGGCTTGACATCGCCAAACCTCGCCGAGCATATCGGAGCCATGCGATGGTGTCAAGCAGGGGCATGGAGCAGGGGGGCCGATTGCCGAGCGCACTCGATCACTCCGCCAAGTGTTCTGGTCGTGGCAGTCGGAGCGCGTGCCAGGCGCAGGAGGAGGAGGAGGGGGATCGGGAGGAGGAGGAAAAGTAGGAGGAGGAGAAGGAAGAGAAGGAGGGGGAGAAGGACGAGGAGGAGGGGGAGAAGGAGGAAGGGGAGGGGGAGGAGGTGGAGGAGGAGGATGAGGAGGAGGATGGGATAGGAGGAGGAGGAGGAGGATAAGGAGGAGAAGGGAGAGGAGGAGGAGAAGGATGAGAAGGAGAAGGAGGAGGAGGAAGAGGGCGATGAAGAGGAGGAGGAGAAGGAGGAGGAGTAGGAGAAGGAGAAGGACAAGGAGGAATGTGTTGAGGAGGATGGGAGCGGGGTCACGCTTGGCAGCGCGGGGCGCGCGGCCGCACGGGCGCTCGCGCGCGGTGTCCCTCAGGAACCTCATCGGTGCCGTGTAGTCCCCTGCCTGGTGCGCGGGGGGTTGGTGGGGGAGGGGCGACCCACCCCCTCCCCCATCCCTTCCTCGAGGATGCGACGGGGGAGGATGAGGGAGATGGGGCAGGGGGAGGAGCGATGGAAACGCTGCGAGAAATCACGGGGCAAGCGCCCCGACGCTTGGTTTGAGGCCATGGGCGGGTGGGGAGGAGGAGGGGGGCGGGAGAGGAGAGGGGGACATACCTCCTCCTCCTCATCCTCCCCATCCTTCTCCTTCTCCCTCCTTATCCTCCTCCTCCCCCCCCCTCCCCCTCCCCCCCTCCTTCTCCCCATTCTCCTCCTCCTTCTCATCCTTATCCTTCTCCTCCTCCTCCTCCTCCTCCTCATCCTATTCTTCCTCGCCCTGATCCTCTTCTTCCCCCCCTCCCCTCCTCCTCGCCCTCATCGTCATCATCATCCTCTCCGTCCTCCTCCTCGTCCCCCAAGCCATCCCTATCCCATTGCGGGGTCGCCTGCCGTCATGCCCCTGCAGGCTCACAGCGCCGACGTGGGCCCCCAGGACCCGCCTGGCGGCGCGCGTGCAACGGCGACGGCGGCGGCGACTACGACGGGGACCACCGTGGGCGACGGACGACGGGAGGCCGACGACGACGAAGACGACGCCTCATCAGCATTAGAAGACGTGGGCGCCACGCCAGCCATATAAGCGCCCCAAGCAGCATAAACCTCATACACCACCTAAACCATACAGACAATAAGTACATATAATCCATGGTACCAGTATGCATACGATAATCACGATACGCTATATAAGCCTTATATACCACATGTCGTACATGAGCCCATGCAAGTCTAACCTGATGAGCAATGCAAGCCATACCCCACCCACGTGAGACAACGAGGAACGGCGCGATACCGCCAGATCGCCAGCTCCATACGCAAAACATTGCCAGGATAAGTGACGGCATACATGAAGTTATAGGTATATGGGATATGTTTTGGGTATACCGCGTGCAACGTATGTATACCATGTTATGTATGTATGTATACATATGTGCAATGCTAT